TGTCCCTTTCTACCCACATTTCCCCCTTCCTGCCCTCTCGCCCCTCGCACTCCTCCCAGTCCCCCTTGCCCTCCCTGACCACTCTCCCCTCCCAGCCCTCCCTGCCCTTCCTGCTGCCCTTCCATCTGCAACGACTGGATAAGATCAAGTGTGAACTCCACTGGGTTGGAAAAGGGCGGCACCGGGCAGCCAAAATCCGTGAGATAGCCTGGCAGCTCGGACGGGCAGCCCGAAAAAACCGTGTGCCCGGATCCAAGGAGGAGGAGGTTGTCGAGAAGATTGAGGACCCTGAAACTGGGCTGGAAGCATTGGGTACAAAGGGGACGAGGTGTGGGGAGGACAAGGGCGACGAACGGTTGGGAGGAAAAGCTTAGTTGAGGAGATTGAAACAATGAAACAAGACAATAACGAGGTTGTGGAGGAGATTGAGGACCATGAGCTTAGTTAACAATGAAACTGGGCCTAAGATTGCATGGATCTCCCCCCTAGTGCTGTAGGTACCACCCACCTGGTGCAGCACCATGAGCACAATGCTGCTTCGCAATTTGACCACGTCCCTGACAGCTTTCACCACGTGGAAGGCACATGTGGAGTCGAGACCAGAGGTGGGCTCGTCCAGGAAGAGCAGCAATCAGCCCCAGAGTCACCTGGTGCTCTACGTCTCAGCTGCAGCTCTCAGCTGCTGCAGCGCAGCTTGAAGTCTCACCTGTTGCAGCACCATAAGTACGATGCTGCTTCGCAATCTGGCCACGTCTCTGACTGCCTTGACCACGTGGAAAGCACAGGTGGAGTCGAGACCACACTGGTACGAAGCATCACTGGTGCACTCAGTCTCACCTGATGCAGCACCATGAGAACTATGCTCTGGCGCAGTCTCGCCACGTCCCGGACTGCCTTGACCACGTGGAAGGCACAGGTGGAGTCGAGGCCCGAGGTGGGCTCGTCTAGAAAGAGCAGCAATCAGCCCCAAAGTCACCTGGTGCGGTGGTGCTCTATGCCTCACTCAGCTGCATCCAAGCCTCACCTGATGCAGCACCATAAGAACTATGCTCTGGCGCAGTCTTGCTACGTCTCTGACTGCCTTGACCACGTGGAAGGCACAGGTGGAGTCCAACCAATTCCGCCGAGGATACAGTACACTTCCAGGAAGGAAAGAGATCACCGCTCACCTGGTGCAGCACCATGAGCACGATGCTTTGACGCAGTCTGGCCACATCCCCGACTGCCTTGACCACGTGGAAGGCACAGGTGGAGTCGAGGCCAGAGGTGGGCTCCAGAAAGAGCAGTGTGGGGTCTCCCACCAGACACCACACTCCACGAGGAGGAACGAACTCACCATAAGCACAATGCCCTAGGACTAACCTGGTGCAGCACCATGAGTACAATGCTCTGGCGTAATCTCGCCACGTCCCGGACTGCCTTGACCACGTGGAAGGCACAGGTGGAGTCGAGGCCCGAAGTGGGCTCATCCAGGAAGAGCAGCAATCAGCCCCAGAGTCACCTGGTGCTCTACGTCTCAGCTGCAGCTCTCAGCTGCTGCAGCGCAGCTTGAAGTCTCACCTGGTGCAGCACCATAAGCACGATGCTGCTTCGCAATCTGGCCACGTCCCGGACTGCCTTGACCACGTGGAAGGCACAGGTGGAGTCGAGGCCCGAGGTGGGCTCATCCAGGAAGAGAAGTGTTGGGTCTCCCACCATCTCCACCCCTATCGCCACCCTCTTGCGCTCGCCACCCGATACACCTCTGAAGGAAGAGAGGAGAGGAGAAGGGAGGGGATGGTTGGTTGGAGCTCGCGCGGAAGGCACTGGTGGAGTCGAGGCCCGAAGTAGGCTCATCCAGGAAGAGAAGTGTTGGGTCTCCCACCATCTCCACCCCTATCGCTACTCTCTTGCGCTCGCCGTCTGACACACCTCTGAAGGGAGAGGAGAGGGAGGAGGGGAAGGGAGGGGGTGTTTGGTTGGAGCACGCGCGAAAGGCACAGGTGGAGTCGAGGCCCGAGGTGGGCTCGTCCAGGAAGAGCAGCGAGGGGTCTCCCACCATCTCCACCCCTATCGCTACTCTCTTGCGCTCGCCGCCTGATACGCCCCTGAGATTAGAAAATGAATGCATGAACAGGGAGGAAGAGAGGGAGTAGCCCGGGTTGAGTACTAAGAGCAGCGTTGGGTCCCCCACCATCTTCACTCCTATCGCCACCCACTTGCGCTCGCCACCTGACACGCCTCTGTAGTGGGTGAATGAGCAAGGGGAGAGAAGGTCACTGAAACAGCAGCGAGGGGTCCCCCACCATTTCAACCCCTATCGCCACCCGCTTGCGCTCACCACCAGACATGCCTCTGCAATGTGCAAACGAAGGGAGAGGGTGCATGAGCAAGGGATGAGAAGAGCATGCGACCACTATTACACATCAGCACGGGGTCTTCCACCTCCACTCCTATTGCTACTCTCATGCACTAGCCACCAGACAACCCCCTGAAGAGAAGGAGCGAAGAGGAGAGATGAGAGGAGAGAGTTTAAGTGAGCGAGATGTGACATGTGTCCACTACAACATGACGTGACAGCAGCTTGGGGTCTAGGCCTCCCTCCCACCATCGCCACTCTCATGCCATACCACACCCTCAGTTCACATACCTTCTGTTCTCATTCCCAATGCGCGAGTCCGCCACTCGAGTGAGCCCCAGCAGGCGCATCAGCCCCTCCACCTTCTCCTCCTTGGCCCTCCGCCCGACCCTGCCATTCCCCAGCCTCAGCTCGGCTGCAAACAGCAGCGTCTCGCGCACTGTGAGCGCGGGGAACAGCAGATCGTCCTGCATCACACCACACATCCCTGTACGACCTACCTTCTCCTCCCACATGCTATCATGCCTGCCGTCCCGCGCACTGTGAGCGCCGGGAACAGCAAATCGTCCTGCATCACTCCACACACCTTCTGTGTCACCCATACCACCCACCTTCTCTTCGCACACACGATCACACCTTCCCTCTCCTCTCAGTTCACGTACCTTCTGTTCTCATCTCCAATCCGCGAGTCAGCCACTCGAGTGAGTCCCAGCAGGCGCATCAGCCCCTCCACCTTCTCCTCCTTGGCCCTCCGCCCGACCCTGCCATTCCCCAGCCTCAGCTCGGCCGCAAACAACAGCGTCTCGCGCACTGTGAGCGCGGGGAACAGCAGATCGTCCTGCATCACATAGGCTGACACCCGTCGCATGGTGCTGGCTGTCACAGGAGCACCGTTCAGAGTTATTGAGGAGGAGAGTGCGGGGGTGGAAGAGGAGAGGGCAGTCACTGGGGCACCGTTTCGAGAAATTGAAGGGGAGAGGGCGGTGGTGGGAGTTGGGAGGGGAGTTATGGAGGGTGGGATGTCAGGAGGCGGAGAGGCGGAGGGTGAAGGAAGGGGTTCTGGTGCAGACGGAATTTGAAGTGGTGTGGATGGGAGGGAGATGCGGTGGGAGAGTATGTCGAGAAGAGTGGTTTTGCCAGACCCACTGGCGCCCATGATTGCTGTCACCTGCCCTGCCTTGGCAGACCCTGATATCCCCTGCAGTATGCTGCGCCTCTGCTGCTGCTGCTGCTTGCCAGACTGCTGATTGTGATTATATGGAGCTTGACTGTGTCGAGAGGTATGCACAGGCACATCAGTGGGAGCATCCGTAGCACTGCTGTTGCGAGGAATGGAGGAGCGGAGAGAAGGTATGGCAGGGAGGAAGGCTAGGGGATGGCGCCGGATGGCGACAGAGTAGGAGATGTTGTGGAAGCAGAGAGAGGAGGTTGTAGATGGAGAAGGGGAGTGGAGGGAAGGAGAGAGGAGAGGAGAAGAGAGGACGTTGCGACTAGAAGCTGACACTGGGTAGGAAGTGTTGGGAAGAGGAGCGAGTGGAGGAGAGGGAACAGGAGCTGGAAGCTCCCTGGCTTCCAAAAAGGTTGAAGGAGCGAATTCTACCTTGTCCCTGTTCAAATCTTGGTCAGTAGCACCCAAGGGGTTGGTGATGATGTGATTATAGTGAAGGGGTGGAGGAGTTTCAGGAGGGATATCGAGTGTGTGCTCTGATGGCGTCTGCTCTGCCATGGCGAGGTCTTGCTTGATGCTGGATGCTGGAGGCTGATTGGCTGATTTGCAGCAAACTGCTGGCAGTTTTCCAGATGGTACTGCTGGAGCTTCTCCTGGTGTAGAGGCGGGATGGTAGTGTTGATGACTTTGCTTGTATCCTGAATATCTGCTGCAATCGCGACACTGCGATCGCACCACTCTGACCGAGAGGCCGAGGTTCCCAGTATGACAATGTCACCACACTAACCTATTAGTATTGAGTCCAGCAGCAAAGCGTCACGTTGTGAGTTCACAGTTCCTGAAATGGATACAGGGCGATTGTCATAACTTGACGTTAAGCAATCCAATTTCACAGCAGCAAGCAATCCATACCGTATGCTGGCAGTGCCAGCATCCAAGGTCCTCTGGTCTTCAGCAATCTTGAAGTATGCACTGCACACTGCACTCCACTGTGCTGCACTGCACCGCAATGCACTGCACTGCACTGTGCTGCACTGCAGTGCACTGCAGCCGCCAATAGCAAGAACAAATTCAAGGCCACTCCCAACTGCTTCTGTAGACACTGCTCAGGTGTAGATATGGGAGATTCTGTGAAATACAGCCTCCCTCTGTACACAACGCTGTTAGTGCTGATCAGAATGAGGCTCGTGAGAAGTCTCAACAGAGGTGTTGAATTTCGTTCACTTCACTCAATCAGCAGACTCGGTGACTTCTTTCACTCCTGCTGATTGAAGAGAAGATGAATTAACTCTCTTCAAAATGGCCGCTAGCCAGTTAACTCAGGCAGAGACTGATCAGTAGCACAGGTCTTGTAAGCGACGTTTCCGCGTCAGATGCGGACATCACCTGTTCTGGACGAGTGTGCTGGTACGAGTAAGCGCAATTTGCACATGGAGCTCGTCCAGCAATGGTACTGGTCGGAGCGGGACGTTGACGGAGAATTCCTGGACGTCACTAGTCGTACGTCAACGTCACCAACTCCTAGTCGGGTATTGAAACCGAATTCTGAAGTGCATTGCCTGCCATGATGACCAGCCAACGTCAGTGCCATCTCGGTGCTACTAGGCAGTGCTTGAACCATAGCGACTGGCGAGTCAACACCACGAGAACAAATGGAGCCGTTCTTTTATCGGTTGTCAGTGATCCTGCCGTGCATGATAGGGACAGTACAGTATGGCCGTTCAAAGTACGGGATTCCATCTCACACGTGTCAGGGGAAAAAGACACCTAGAGACCATAGTCTGCCGCGAGCGGATTGTATACTTCTCGAAATATCCGTCGGGATGCTTCTCATGGTACAGTATCTTTGAATATGACAGACGATTGTCATTCCGGGGAAATCGACCGTCAGTCGACTTCGCCGGGAACAACCTCGCCGTGATCGCTAATTCACTGCTGCTCTTTCTTCGGGACGTCACTAGCGGCATTACCGATGGTGACGAGCAGCTAGCGACTCTGCGGGGAAATCGACGACTCAGCGGAGAAATCGACAGGCCACGACTCACGACACGAACCGCCTGACGAGTTCCGAGCGGAAGCATTCTCCACATCCCATGACATCGGGCTTACCGAATGCACTGGACCGCTATTGATGGGTCAAATATATGGAATGGGCCAATATCGTTCCCTGGAATGATGGGTCAACATCGTTCCCCGTGACCGAGGTCGCCAAGAAATGTTGTACTGGGAAGATCCCTAGGGACGTCGCTGTCAGAAGCATCCACCCTGCCAGTCCACTAGGCCAATGAAATGAAGGAGATTCTCTATGGAGTTATTTCTGGCAAACTAACTGGCGCGATACACTTCTAAATTGAAGCCAAGATTTCATACCAACTTTAAGAAGAAAGCAAGATCCTTTCCAGCAATACTATTAATATCATAGTGTTACTAAGTTTCCACAACACCACCACGCATAATAATGTACAGAATAAACAAACGTCCAAAATATCCACCCTCAGATTGTCGTGGAATGGGTGGTTCTATCCAGGGCTATATCGTTATTGGGGAACTTTCTATGGGAACTTCCTTTACTTCGCCACAGGGGGCACATACTTGGCCACTGGGTTCGCATGCTGTCCCCTGGGTGAGGAGTACTCCACAACATATGACTGCCACACAACAAAGAAACAGATGTAAAACGGATTTTGAAGCTTCACACAATTCACATCCCTCAACCCTTTACACTCATCAGCACCAGAACAAGAACAGGACAGGAACACAGTAAGGGTACGCTCTTGGCCGGTGTCAATTTTCCTGACACAAGGCTATCGACAGCTCCGATCGTGTCACAACATCAACAAACAAATCCAAACCCTTCACAGCTTCCAGTCAGCCCACTTGACACCGGCAAAGAACGTACCCTAAGCGTGTATGTGAACATTATAAACATATTGAAAATGCATACAGCCAGACAGACAACCAAACCCACCTTCAGAAGGGGGGTCTTGGTGTTGTCCTCATAAAGCAGAATGGTCGAGTCGTCATCCTCCGGATCAGCGCAGCCATAGATAATCGAGGCGAGGCTGAGAATCATCATGGTAACCAGGAAGACAAACGCGAGCCCGAGAATGACCAGGCCGATAATGTTGGTGACGGTCCACCCGGGGAGAATGCTGGGGAAGGGGAAGTAGTCGTCCACGACTGTCACCTCCGCATCGTCGCCTGAGACTGGTGGGAAAAAAGAAATAGCGGGAGTGGACGGATAGAGATGTGCAGGCGGCGGCACAGGAGAACAGGTGAGTGGGAAGCAACCGGGCAGACAGGCAGACACAGGGACAGGCACTAGATGGACAGACACATTGGAGATGAAAGGCGTGACAAGGTTTATAACAAGGGAATGCACGAAGTTCTATGGCCACCAGAACAGAAAAGCAGTACCGCTGCGCCTTCCAGCAGTACAACACACGCACCCTTTCTACGCCCCCCCACACCCCTCCATCCCCCACCCCCCCCCCCCCCCCCCCCCCCCCCCCCCCCCCCCCCCCCCCCCCCCCCCCCCCTGCCCTTCTCGCGCCAAGGAAATTTACCTGCGGAGTCATCATCGTCCACGGGAACAGCCGTCGCGCTGTCGAGTTTGCTGAGATATTCCGTTAAATCATCGTCCACCTGGTCAACATAATCCGGGATCCCATTCTCCGAGCTCTCATTCTCCGAGCTCTCATTCCCAGAGTCCCCACTCTCCGAGCTCTCCTCCTGCTCCTGAGCAGTCTGCGCGTTGCTCTGGAACTCCTTCGCGGCCTTTACAAACTCCTGGAACAGCTGCAGATGCTTCGAGGATTGATCCTGCGGAGGAATCATGGAGAACAAGTCGTCAAGGTCGAGCTTCTTAGACCAATCGCGAGAGAGCACAAACGCTTCAAAAGCGGACGTCAGAGGATCCGAGCGTTTCGCAGCAGCGGCGTCATCAGTTTCCGTCGGGAGACGCTCGTCGGAGACGGGGTCGGCAGTGACTGCGGCGTCGCTGTCATCTTCAGCCGTCAACAGTCTGACGTTTTCCGTTTCTGTATCCTCGGTAACCTTGTCAGAGGCGGGGTCGGCAGTGACGGCAGCGTCGCTGTCATCCTCCGCCGTCAACATCCGGACGTTTTCCGTTTCGGTATCCTCGGTGGTCTCGTCAGGAGTCGTTTCCGAAGAAACGCTGGTAACGGGGCTGGAATCACCGCCTGTGACAGGCGCATAGTCCTCGTCGTTTTCGATAGGGACGGGAGTGGGAATCTCCTCGTCCGAGGATTCGGGAGTCACGTTGGTAACGATGCTGGATTCACCGCCCGTTGCAAACGCATCCTCCTCCTCGTTTTCAATAGGGACGGGCGTAGGAATCTCATCGTCTGAGGATTCGGAAGACTGAGAAGACTCGGTAGACTCGGCAGACTCGAACGACTCCTCCGTGTCTTGGGGCCTGGTGTGGAGGTCGCTGAGAATGTCAGAGATAGACGACGGGAAGCGGTGGACGATCATGCGGGTGACGGATGGGAGTCGGTTGGCGACGACGAACATGATGTTTCCGCGGAGATGAAGGCCACCGACATTGCTAGGCTGCCATGGCATAACAAAGGACACGATATGTGAAAGAAAAAAAAAATGGAGTAAAAACCACAGTAGAAGGGAAAACAAAAAAAAAGGGTGGAGTAAGAACCACAGTAGAAGGGGAAACATACGTATGAGGGGTGGGGAGAAAAAGAAACGACAGACGCGTGAGAAGAACAACAGGAGATAGTGAGGACGGCAGACTGGCTGGCAACTAAGTTAGATGGCAATAGGTGTCGTGCTGCTGAGTAATAATCACCTCAAGTTGTGTGAACGCAACGTAGTGGCCACAGTTCTGAAATGAAGGATTATGACACAGAGATACGCCGGCTCAGATGGGTGAAAAGTCATGGAAAAGCGTGCAAGTGGAAAAGGCAATCTCACAAGCACGTACCTGACCCTGAGTCTCACTAACTTCAAACTGCCCATATACGAGAGCCACTGAGACGACTAGCAGAGCAGAAAGGAGTAAAACACGCGCCATAGTACACGGGGGTCGCTCAGTGCCTAAGAGCTCGCTGAGAAATACTATCCTGTCCTGTTTCTTGTATCTCTGAAACTTGCCAGTCTATTCCCCTGAAGAGCAAACCCTAGCTTCAACAGTCGTTCTCAGCACCTCAAATGCCAACCCACTGTACTCTATCCACGCAACTGACTGCTTTCTGAACTCCGTCAATACTTGCCTGACTGACTTGAGGGACTGGGGGTTTCTTCGTCAGTCAATTGCGACCACCGCACGATCACTCCCTCGGCTGTGGAAGGATTGACTTTCAGGGGAAGCGTGCGAATCTTGGCGAAGAAAATCGAAATCGCCCAGGTTGCAGTAACCGTTATGGGTGCAGAAACTCTGGCAACTGTGGGCTGACGACAATGAATGGCATCGTGACGAGTCACGATGACAACTCAGCATCAACGCTCGGGCAGCTTGTCGGCTGAGAACGAAATCCAGTGCTTGCGTGGACTGCAGCCACTTTCTCGTCAAGAAGCGGCGAGAATCTTCTTCTACCTGAAGTTGTCAGGAGGGCCAGTATCATCCCTGTTGTAATAGGCTCTCTACTAGGAACAGAACTGTGAAAGGTACACCAGGAAAACAATAGATATAATAAAGAAGAAAATCAAGGCTACACACTCCATAGCACAAAACATGATAGTTAAAACACAATAAATAAAAAACACATAATAATCAGTATATTGTGACCTTATCATGGTTTTCCAGTTAAACTGAGGCTTAAGTAATGGCCTTAAAATTTGAGAGGGGAAGATGTGTGATCTTGTAAGCAAACTGCTATGCTGCTATACTGATGTTGCATAGCAGGTTTCTGCACCTTATGAATTATTGAAGGTATCCGCGTTGTGGAGACGAAATCGTTCAGATTGGTTGAGGCGAAATTATTGCGGCTCGAATCAAAACTACGAAGCGCCCCACGCTGACGTGTGCTGCCAGCACCATCTTCCAATCACGTGATTAGTAGTATTGAACGTGTTGTTTTGGAAATCCCATCCTAAGCTGGAACGCGGTCTGGTGGCTGGTGCACCAACCTTGGGAATTTGCAGCTGTTTGCGGTGGAAAGGAGCTGCAGCAATCCTGACCGTCGACCGATTCGGAACTCGTAACATCTTCGGCTGAGCGGGAATCTGGGCGTCAGGGTGGAAGAGAGATGAATCGAGGAGAGATCGAGGGTGGTGGATGGATGGTCTAGTCTCACCTCAGCAAGCGCCATCTGCAATTATTCATTCTACAGATCGAGAAACACGCTACTGAACTCCAGAATTGACTCTGTGAAGTGACAGACTGTTTCCCTCCTAGAAGGTCTCGAGGAATAGCGTAAGACGCGTCGATTCAATGGGAAGATCTGTGTCGACGGCAGGTCGCACCATCAGTTATGCACAAGGTCGAGGCAGGTTACTCAACTGGACTTGGCTCAGAGGAATCGACGGTTGCCAGTTGGAATGTCTAGAATCGCGTTCGCTCACCATCGCGTTCCTGATACCTAGGGAGATCCTATGCGCTGATCTAGTTCCTATGTTCGATCTGATTGCATGCTCGATGGTATCGAAGATGGCTCCGTCACGCTCCCTTTGTGATAATCCTCGAACGTTTTACATCTCTCCCGTTTCGAATCCCTGGCATTCTAAACTCCCGCGTAGCTGACCACTACCATAACTATGACCTTAGAATGTGGCATCTATAAGAATGAGAAACCCCCTTAACTTAGGGGATAAAGAAGCCAATGCTACCAATTTGTCACCTAGCTCTTCAAATCACGACGCGTACGGCGCAGAAGTAGATTTAGGGGATTCGCGGCATAAATTAGTACTAGCGCGTCGCGATGACCAAGCAGAGCAGCAGGGGGCGCCGGGAGACGTCAGGAGGTCAATCGATCGGAGCACTCAGCCATTATACTCGCAGGAAGGCGACAGTGAGGAGGCGGAGAGAGCGGCAGCAGGCGTCAGTGGGAGCGAGGGGGGGTTGAGAAGAGAGGAGCTGCGACTCGGGGATAGAGAGAGCCTTGATTTGAATTCATGGGGGGTGAGTGGTACGCGCCCAGTCCCCCCGGCCGCTGCTGCGAATCTGCCTGCGCCGTCTGCTGCTGCTGTATCACGTGCTCTTGAGCCTGCTCTACCTCTAGGGTCTGATGTCGCTTCGAGTTTTGCTGCCGCTGCGAGTATTGCTGCTTATTCCGGATTTGCTGCTGCTTCGGCCGCTTCTTCCGGGTTAGTCGCTGCTCCGGCTGCTTCTGCCAGGTTTGCCGCTGCTCCGGCTGCTTCTGCCGGGTTTGCTCCCGCTCCCGCGTTACCTGCCCCTTTAAGCAGAGGTTCTCCGTCCGTTGCTCGTCCCGAATCAGCGACTCCCGAGGCAGGAGGTAGCGGTATATCACGGGGAGAGAGTAGGAAGCGCCAGCGGGAAACGATAGAGAGCGGTGGAATTCGAAGCCGGAGCGGAGGGGCTGAGCGGAGCGGAGGAGGTGAGGGAAGCAGAGGTGGTGACGGGGGCGGAGGAGGTGAGGGGAACGGGGGACCGGAGCGGAGCGCAGGAGCTGAGGGAAGCGGGGGGGCAGAGCGGAGGGGTGGCGCGGTGCAGGGCGGCGGCAGCGGACGGCGGAGACTGGCGGATTTGAGCGACGAGGATTTGCAGCAGCTCACGCGGGAAGAATGCCGCCGCCTGCTGCAGGAACAAGGTTAGCATGGCGTTACATTGTGGAACAAAATGAAATCCTTCGCAGTGCAGCAGCTCGCGGCTTGCTTTGCCCTTTAAATTCCCCCCAAAATCCCCCAAGGCTCGTCTATCGTTCGCTCACTGTTGCTCGTCTGTTACCCACACCACCCCACCAGGCATACGACGGACGTCGTGAACGAAATCCTTCGCCGTGCAGCACCTCGCTGCCCTTCAACTCGTATGATTCACTGCTGCGTTTCCCCCTGGTCGACTTTTGAGTCGAGTCAAAAGTCACCGCAGCACCTCGCTGCCCTTCAACTCATATGATGCACCGCTGCGTTTCCCCCTGGTCGTGCGCGGCGACTCCAAATCTCTCGCTAATCCGCGCCCATTACTTTCCCCCGCTCCCCCCTCCTCCCACCCCCCCAGGCATGCGACGGCCTTCGTGGACGAAATCCTTCGCCGTGCAGCAGCGCGCGGCCATGCGTTGCCCCTTGCGGTGGCTCAGCTTGACGCGTCGATTTTCCTCGCTAATCCGCGCCTCCCCTCTGTCCCCCACTCCCCCTATTCCAGGCATGCGACGGCCGTCGTGGACGAAATCCTTCGCCGTGCAGCAGCTCGCCGCCCTTCGCGAACTTTCGCAGCTGCCGTTCCCACTTACCGTGCAGGCGCGTTCGCGCGAACCGACTGCTGCTGCCGGAGAGGGAGAGAGAGCCGCAAATACAGGGCAAGATGGGGAGGCAGAAGCAGGAGGGATAGAGCACGAGCGGCAGGAAAGGAGGCAAGTACCGGGGATACAGCAGGAGCAGCGGCAAGAGGGGGGACATGAAGCAAGCGACGTTCGTTCGCGCAGTGGCGACGAGGGGCGGCAAGAGAGGGAGGCGGAGGCGCAAACATCGGCGGAGGCGCAAGCGTCCGCGGAAGCGCAATTCTCCGCGGAAACGCAGGCGCAACTGTCCGCAGAGGCGCAAGGATCAGCAGAGGCGAGACTAGCGTTTGCGGAAGCGTATTTGCTGGTAATCCCCCCCACCCCCCCCCACCCTAAAAAAGAATGAGAGAATGTTTTCAAGTCATTCCATCACTTGCTCCTCCTTCCTCTCCACAACGGAATTGATCATTTGTTGCGCTTTACGGTCTGTCATCTTGCCTACATTTCTCTGATGGTGCGGTATGAAAACCACACTTGCAATCTGTAACATTCGATCTTACTCTCCGCCGTCCGTTCCCCCACCCGTCCCTGCCTTTCCCCCTCTCTGCTCGCCCCTTCCCCCTTCCTCCCGCTCAACCCTAGCGTGTCCTACAAGAGCGCGCTCAACGCGCGCAAGCATCCGTGGACGCGGAAGCGCCTGGGCGCGCGGGCGGATGCGGGCGCGCAGAAACGTCAGGGCAGACGGAAGCTCGTGTGCGCGCGGAGCGCCCAGTGCGCGGGGATCAGCCGGAAGGCGCGGAACCTTGTGAGGGCGGGGCGGAGGCCTCGAGACGCCCGGAATCATCTGGCGGACGGGGGAAGGGTCTGGCAGGAGAGAGGGGGAAGCAGAGTGGGCAGGAGCGGAGAGGGATTGACTTGGAGAATAGTCCGGAGGAAGGGGAAGGCTCTGAGGGGGAAGGTTTTGCGGGGGAGCAGCAGGGGGGAGGGGTGGGGGAGAGGGATGAGGATGGGGAGGAACGCGAAGAAGGGGAAGAAAGAGAGGAAGCGGAGGATGGAGAGGAGGGAGGGGAGAGTGAAGAGAAGGGGCAGAAAGAAGAGGATGGGGATGGGGATGGGGGAGGAGGGGAAGGGGGAGGGGGAGGAGGAGGGAGAGGAGGGGGAGGAGGAGGAGGAGGAGGAGGAAGGGGAGGGGAAGGAGGAGGAGGAGGGGAAGGGGGGGAGGGAGGGGGAGGAAGAACGGGGAAAGGGGGCAGAAGGGGAAGCGACAATGATGGCAGCAGTAGGGCCGGGAGCAGAAGCAGAGGCAATAGTGGTGGTGGTGGTGATGGTGATGGTGGTGGTGGTGGTGATGGTGATGGTGGTGGTGGTGGTGATGGTAGTGGTGCTAGTGCTGGTGATAATGGTGGTGATGGTGGTGGTGATGGTGATGGTGATGGTGATGGTGATGGTGATGGTGATGGTGATGATGATGGTGATGGTGATGGTGATGGCCATGGTGATGGTGATGATGATGGTGGTAGTGATGGTGGTAGTGATAGTGATGGTGATGGTGGTGGTGGTAGAAGTGATGACGGTGGTGGTCTGGCCACTGCTGCTGCAGAAGTGGCAGGAGAAGCAGGAGCAGCAGGAGAAACAAGAGAAACGCAGCCACAGCAACAGAGAGCACCACAGCAACAGCAACAGATAGAGTTACAGTCACAGCTTGAGTTTCTAGCAGCCGCTGAGGTGGATATTCAGCCTCTACCCCGGTTCAACACCCCCCCTGAACTCGCCTCCGCGTTTGCCACTGCTTTGGCGGCCGCTGCGGCTTCCACTGCTCCTGCTGTTGCTTCTGACACCGCTACTGCTGCTTCTGGTGCTGCTGTTGCTCCTCGAGCTGTTGCTGCTGCTCCTGCTCCTGCTTCTCTTGATGCTGCTGCCACTGCTGCTGCCGCGACTCCCGAACCTTCTCCTGCTCCTGTTGCTGCGCTTGCTCCTGCTGCTGCTGTCACAGCTGCTGCCCTGGCTTCCGAACCTGCTCCTGTTTCCGTTCCAGCTGTCTTAAGCACCGTGGGGAACGTATCACCTCCACTAGGTAACACCTCCCCACGTTCCAACAACCCCAGTCCCAGCAGCCCCACGTTCGGTGAGGGTGAGAAAGGGGAGAGTGAGAGAGGGGAGAGTGCGAAAGTGGAAGATGACAAAGAGGAAGGTGACAAAGCTGAGGGTGACAAAGCCGAGGGTGCTAACAGCAGCTCTGAGGACTCTCCCTGGCGGTCAGTTGCAAACATTTCACCACGGAGCCAGGAGCTGCCCGGTCTTGCAGAGCCTGCCCGCGAACATTCGACCGGACCTTTTCTTTTGACTCCGCAGGAAGTGAATAGAGCTGTAGCAGAGAAAGTGCCTTCAGCTGCTGCAGCTACGGCTGTAGCAGAGGAAATGCCTTCAGCTGCTGCAGCTACGGCTGTAGCAGAGGAATTGCCTTCAGCTGCTGCAGCTACGTCTGTAGCAGAGGAATTGCCTTCAGCTACTGCAGCTACGGCTGTAGCAGAGGGTTTGCCTGTGCCGGCACCCCAAAGGAATACTAGCCTAGCCGTTCGTCTGTTTGGCTCTTCGCTTGTGGAAGGCTCACTGGTGGGACGAGGGCAAGGGGAGGGCGATCCTTCTACTCCTGCTGTCGCCCCTGCTGTCCCTGCTGCTGCTACAATTGCAGCCGCTGCTGCTGCTGTTGTAAGCTCTGCTGTTGCTCCAGCTGCTGCTGCTTCTGCTACTGCTGCTGCTGTAAGTGCTGCAACCTTTACAGAAGCAGCAAGAGCAGCAGCACCCGTGCCTGAAGCAGTGCTTGTACCAGCAGTTTCCGGAGTGGCCCCTGTTACTGAAGGAAGAGCAGCAGGAGCAGTAGCAGGAGCAGCAGATATAGATGCAGGACAAGGAAAAACAGAAAGAGCAAAAGTGGTGGGAACAGCAGCAGGGCTAGTGCTGGTCGCACCAACAGCAGCAACAGCAGGTGCAGGAGCAACAGCAGGTGCAGGAGCCGCAGTAGGGCCTTGGACAATCCCCCAGCAAGCAGTGGCTTTACCTGCACCAATCCCTGCTTCTGCACAGACATCTGTGGTGCCTGTAGCACCTGTTGCGCCTGTAGC